CTCACAAAAGACCACTACTACGAGTACGACGAAGACGAGCAAGATTGGCACCTGCCAATTACACTGCGGGAGAGCCCGCCACATGGCAACCAACACTACGTACATGTGGGATGGAAGGAAGACGAAGGCCCCTTCTTCCACATGCGCTACAAAACAGCCTTGGTGACTCCGCGATTGGCGCTACTTCTTCGCAGGAACAACACTGACAACCACCCTGGACAGCTGCTGCGGACAAGACATGGTGAAATCCACTCTATACGTCTCGAACCTGAGTCGCGCCTCCGCAACTTACATTACCGTTGCCAACAATGAGCAGTTGCGCGCCAATGCGCAAGGCATCGTGGTCCTGCAAGCACGAGACATCGACACACACATCTCATTCAACGACGTGCTTTACGTCCCAGACCTTCGCTTCAACTTACTCTCGGCAGAACAACTCAGAGACTGCGGAGTCATGATCACCACAGACCCAGATACACGCGACCTCCTACTCACTTACGCCCCACCATACACTCCCCCTAAGTCATACATATACCTCGGGCGAGCTCGCTCAATCAACGGAATTTACGTCCTGGATTTTGACATCCCAAACTGCCAAGCTTCATCTGACAAACTCGTGGATCTCGTCCCTCTTGAGTTCGCTTTCAAGAACAAGGAATCATGGGAACACCCAGATGGACAGCCGTGGATTTGCCGCGGCCCTCATCACCGCGAGATCAACCTGCACGAGCCAGACATCAATGGTCGCTGCACCACCTGTCACACGCCCACAGCAAGCCGCACAGAGCAAGTGGAGAAGGGTTATGCGGCAATCCAGGAGGTGGAGAGTGCCGAGGCAGAGCCCACGGGCATGACTGAAATGGAACTTGCAGTAACCACTCACCGCATCTTCGGTGAAGGCGACGACGACCGCGGCTTCACACCGCAAGTGCGACCCACGCCGCGTTCCAACACTCTTCACTTCATCCTCACAAGCAACACTGGGACTTTCGACGAAGAAGGCCGCCCGCGCCCTTACACTCGCAACGTCTATCGCACGGAGATTGACCCGACCTGGAAAGATCCTGACGCAAAAGGAGAGCTGAGCATCAAGGAAGAACAAGACAAGATAAGGGAAGAAAAGAAACAAAAGCTGTACGAAAGGCGCGTTGCGGAAGGATGGGACGAAGAGTCAGCACGACGAGGCGCATGGGGGGGCGACGACTACAAAACAGAAGGTGGTGCAACCTGGGCATCTGCCACTGGAGCATGGGGAGCCATCGCCAGCAGCACAGTCACTATGGGAGGATGGGGAACAGCCGAACCCGACGAAGGGGAGCTTACTCAAGAGGAATTAGAAGAGGCTGAACGGGAAATGAAGGCTGAGCGCGGAGAAGAATCACCTCACGTCGTCATTTCCCTCGGACGACCCCCACGCACTCGTGAACCTCCTTGCTCACCTCATCGTTGGAGTGATCTCTGGTCAAAGATTGAGGAGGGGAATATACCACCAACTCCTCCGCGGGACTCACTTGGTCCAATCTCCCGCCCAGATCCGTTCGCTCGTTTCATTGAAGGCACAATGACCCCACTCACCATCATCCCTGACCGTGATTTTCTCGCCCTCTACCTAACAACGGCACCTGCAGAAGGGGAGACAACAGCGGAAGCAGAAGCAGAGGAGCCGGACAACGAAGCAGAACCAGGAGAAGAGGAAGAACCCCCACTCCAGATCCCGCAAGAAACGGAAGCAGAAGCAGCAGAATATTGCGTTCGCTACAAGCGCACCTCCGGCATCCGCGCCGAAGACACTAGACTCTCGCAAGCGGTTGGGCCACCCCTCGCGCCAGACTCTCGCCAACTGCCTCCGCGCTAAGGTTTTTCCACCAGGAGCACTGCTGCGGCCCGACGGAACAGAACCGCACAACACCCCACACCCGATCACTTGCAGCGTCTGCCCCACCGCTGCGCTCTCCCACAGCTCCTACCCCTTCCTGGAACCAAGTACCAACCGCCACAAGAAATTGGAAAAAGTGTACAGCGATTTTATCGTACTCACCTTCGATGGCATCAACAGCGAGAAATATACTCTCACCTTCATCGACGCCTACCCACGTCACGTGTGGATTGCCAACGTCGACGCCCACTACAAGGCCCCAAAAGTCTTCCGCATCTGGCTCGCACATGTGCAACGCCAATCAGGGAGGAAGCTGAAAATCTGGCAGAGTGACGGAGCGAAGGAATTTTGCAGCAACGATCTGGAGAGCGTTCTTACTGAGAAGGGGATCAAGCACGAGATCTCTCTCCCATACGCTCATCAGCAGCAAGGCGTCGCAAAGAGGGTTAACCACACCCTCATGACGAAAGTGCGCGCCCTCATGAACCAGTCCGGCCTACCCAAGAAGTTCTGGCCCTACGCCATGAACCACGCGGTGCGCCTGCACAACCTCCTCTCCACCACGGCCAACAGGGACAACATTTCCCCGCACATGAAGTGGACCGGCTCCAGGGGAGACCCCTCCATGCTGAGGGTCTGAGGGTGCATGGCGTAGTATCGACCGACATCAGCCACAATTGGCAAGTTCGTTCACCGCGCGGGCTGGGGAATTCATTTGGGGCTCAGTCATGGGCACAAATACTGGCTCCTTCTCGACATTGACAGCAAGGAGGTTGTTCTCGTGTGCGATATTTTCTTCTACGAGCGACTCACCTTGAAGCAGTGGATCGAAGATGAACGTCGCACCAAGGCACATGGCTACGTCAACAGCGGTCGCAGCGAACTTCCAAGAAAGCGAAGCGGCAGCAGCAGTACTGGATCGAGAGGACACTGACGAACATCCAAGCGTACCGCCTCGCCCACTAAACGACGACGATGACTGTCAGAATCCCAACCACTAGACCATTGGGATAAAAGGGCTTGTTTCAGTAGCGGGTCAGTGCGCCCATAACCCCCCCAGGAAAACGCGCCTGTAACCCTTCCCTAGGATTAATCGGGGATCACCAGTGGACCTCTGACAATGACGACAGCGACGATGATCCCGCGCCAGGACCGTCACGACACCAAGCTGAGCCAAGCACCACATCGCCCGGCTACGAGAGCGGAGACGACGACGTGGTAGAAGTCACCACCACAGACAACACCAATGTGTCCGGCCTACAGCTTCTCGGCCTGCAAAACGCCAGTCACTACTCTCGCGCGCGCCGTGGAGCCCAAAAATCCTCGCCATGCCCTGACCGGCCCTCACGCTAAGGAGTGGTGTGCCGCGATGGATGCGGAGCTACAAGCGCTGGAGTCTCGAGACACATGGGTCCTGGTCGACCATACAGCAGTGAAGGGGAGGAGGGTACTCAGCGGAAAATGGGTTTTTTCGCCTGAAGACTAACGCTGACGGCACCATTGAGCGATTCAAGGCACGCTGGGTCGTACGTGGGCACAATCAGCGCCAGAGCATCGACTTCGACCAAACCTTCGCTCCTGTGAGCCGCCACACCTCCGTCAGAATCCTACTCGCCATAGCCGCCGCTAAGCACCTACCACTGCAACAGATCAACGTGAAGAATGCGTTCTTAAATGCTTTAGTGGATGCGACCATCTTCGTGGAGCAGCCACATACCTACAGAGAAGGAGACCCCAGAGTCTGTCAGCTCAAGAAATCTCTTTACGGGATCAAGCAGGCGCCTCGCCTCTGGTAGCAGCATCTGCACAAAATTCTCCTCAAGATCCGCTTCAAGCAGCTACCGCACGACCCGGGAATGTATCGCCTTCACTTCAGTGGTGACTACATCCTCCTGACAGTTTACGTTGACGACCTACTGTACACAGGGCACCTGCAACAAACTTCTTAATCAGTTTGAGGAGAACCTGGCGCAACGCATTGATATCACCATCAACTACAGTGTGAAGCAATTTTCGGGCCTGAACATCACCTACGCGCCAGAAACAATTCACATGTCAGCCTCCAAGTGCGCAAAACAGCTGGGGGATCACTTCAACATCTCGCCCGCACCACTCTCAACTCCCTACCGTAACCCCAACGCCAACTACAAACCGAACAACAAACTTCTGTCACCCGCAGGACTTCAAATGTATCAGCAGAAATTGGGGTGCGTGCTATTCACCTCTGTCACCTGTTGACCCGACCTTTCGTACATTGCTAGCCAGCTGGCACAGTACTCCCGCAAGCCAGTAGCTGAGAACTAGCTGGACCTGGAGCGCGCCCTGCAGTACTTTATTTCCACATCTGACATCGGGCTCTCCTACTCCGCGCTGACTACGACCTCCTTCAATCTCAACGATTACGTCGACGCAGATCATGCCGCTGACCTTGCGAATCGTCGGTCCCGAACCGGTTTCGTTTTCCACCTGGAACCAACAGGACCAATCTCCTGGAACTCACAGAAGCAGGAGTTGGTTGCCTTGTCATCAGCTGAAGCATAATACATCGCCGCGACAGCAGCAGATCGCGAAGGCCTGAACCCGCAGGAGCTGTTACAGGAGGCGAAAATCCGAAATTCGCCCACCTTTGGGGTAAATGGCCAAGCGTAAGTGCATCCGGCCTTTGCCCCCCGGTGCAACGACGAAGACCAAGTATAAGAGTTAAAACACCTCCCTTGCGTCTGTGGCTTGTGGGAGTAGCCTCGCCAGTAACGGCCCTCCGTCCTCCCACTCCTCCTCCTCCTCCTCCTCCTCCTCCTCCTCCTCCTCCTCCTCCTCCTCCTCCTCCTCCTCCTCCTCCTCCTCCTCCTCCTCCTCCTCCTCCTCCTCCATTTCACATATCCTTCGACTTCTGTTCGTTGTTCATTCTGTGTTCTCTCTGTCAACGTGTGACCTCTACCTGCCACTAGCCTTCACTGAGGGTTTGCAACTCGCGATTCCTTGTGCAGGGGAGAGGCGCGCATGCATCAGGGGAGAGGCGCGGATGCATCAGGGGAGAGGCGCAGATGCTGCTGATTGGAGTTGGAGCATGGCGGAGCATGTAGCATGGATGCTGACTGCAGATCCAACGACAATCAACAACCGGTTAAGTTCCCTCGCCCTGATCCTCTGTTTTTTTCGATTTCGATGCCCCTTCATCCTCCTCCTCCTCCTCCTCCTCCTCCTCCTCCTCCTCCTCCTCCTCCTCCTCCTCCTCCTCCTCCTCCTCCTCCTCCTCCTCCTCCCCCCCCTCCTCCTCCTCCTCCTCCTCCTCCTCCTCCTCCTCCTCCTCCTCCTCCTCCTCCTCCTCCTCCTCCTCCTCCTCCATTTCGCATATCATCCGCCTTCTGTTCATTGTCGTTTTCCTGTATTGTGTCGTCTGTTTTCTCTCTGACAACATGTAACATCTACCCAGCTGCTAACCTTCACTGTGAGGTTGCACCTTGCGGTTCCTTGTGCAGGGACAGACAGTGAAGCGTTGCTGGGGAAACGGAGAAGCAGCGACATGAGCAGCATCTGCAGCGGCAGCAGCAACTGGAGCAGCAGCGACAGGAGAAACAATTAAGTAGCTTCTTCCTTCGTGCATTCGGTATTTTTCACTATTTCACTCCGTTGACTCGTATTTTTCACTATTTCACTCTGTTGACTCAGTTCACTCTCTTCACTCGTATTTTCTTATATGATCAAACGTGGTTGCAACTCTCTGTTTGCTGTGCACGGAGCATGAATATGGGTGGAGCACGGAGCAGCAGCGACCAGAGGAGAGCAGCAGCGACCAGAGGAGAGCTGTAGCGACCAGAGGAGAGCACCAGCGACCAGAGGAGAGCAGCAGCGACCAGAGGAGAGCTGCAGCGACCAGAGGAGAGCTGCAGCGGCCAGAGGAGAGCTACAGCGGCCAGAGGAGAGCTGCAGCGACCAGAGGAGAGCTGGAGCGACCAGAGGAGAGCTGCAGCGACCAGATGAGAGCTGCAGGGACCAGAGGAGAGCTGCAGGGACTAGAGGAGTGCGGAGATAAACTCTACAACGGTAGTGAACTAGACTACACGGGTTGGCACGAACTACTAGAGGTGATCTTAGCTTTGCTTGGTTCCTTAGTGTTTGCACATTCAGGGAAGAAATTGGCAAGAGTTTTCACTAGCAAAGTTAGAATTCCATAATTGAGTCCAACAAGAGATGGCAACAATGACTACATCAGGCACCTAGCAACCCTACTGCTAGCCTAGTCGACCGCCAGCACAGCTCGGTCGACCGCCTGCCAGCGTTGCGTAGAGGAGCCGCGCCAGCACTGCAGAAAGGCGACCTGCCAACGGAGTAGATCGACGGCGTGCCAACGCTGCAGCAGAGGGGTTGTCCAGCGTTGTCCCGTAGAACACAGCAGTGTGCACGCTCGCAGGTGTGCGCAGACGACTGGTCTGACTTGCCTCGTTGGGCATTCGTCGGCTGTTGTCTGCGCCTGACGAGCCATATCGACTCCGGGATACCAGCCCGTAGCGCAATCGCAACCTCGACGACGCTCGCGTGCCTCCGCAAAACTCGTCGAGCAGGTTACCCAGTCAACCCGGTCGACCACCAGGTGCTTCCGGTCGACCACCAGGTCCCTCTGGTCGACCACAACTCCCATCAAGCTACCTCCTGGTCGACGGACCCCTTCCGTCGACCAGAGCCATCAGCGGTTGTCGCCGAGCTCCCCTCGTCGACCGTTGCTCACTTGTCAGGTCGACGGACTGCTCCATCGACATCCCGGTCGAATTGCAGGTCCTGGTCGACGTCCCAACCGTCGCCCAGACCAGTCAGATGCAGTTGTCGAGCTCCCTAGTCAACAGCAACACCACAGCAGTCCCCTGCAGCTCGACGAAGCCTGTCGAGCAGCTCTCCCACTATGAACGGTCGGTTGCTACTCCCGTACATCGGACCAAGTCGTCAGCGTTCCCCAAGCGAGGGCGGGGCCAACAGTCCATTCCTGTTAACAATCACCTGCCGCGCTCACGCTTGGGCCTCCAGCCCACACGGCAGTACTCCACGGAGAAAACTCATCCTCGGCGTGCACCCCACACACAGCACGCCGTCACCGCACCAGCCGTGCAGAAGGGCACGGCACCTACTGCTGCACTTCATCGTCGCCGTCACCGACGTCGGCCAGACGAACTTGGCCGATGGCGACCGAGCACCAGTTGAAAGCCGGAAAATGCAGCGCCTTCGTCAGGAAGTCCGCTGGCTGCTCGGTGGTCGGGATGTGTCAAATTACAATATTGTGTAGGCTATAGTGGGGTAGCCTATATGGGGTACACATTCCTAGGGTTCCATATTTGTATCACTTTCATTCCTTAGTCAATCATTCTCGTTCTAATACCAGGTCTAGCCCGCGTCCGTGGACAGGGTCACGAGCGCTATTTCCTGCTGGTGGTTGACGACTACTCGCGTTACACCACAGTCTTGCCCTTGCGCAGCAACGGCGATGTCACTGAGGTGCTGATCGACTGGATCCGCGCAGCTCGTCTCCACCTCAGGAGGAGCTTCGGCTCGGACTTTCCGGTTCTGCGTCTGCACTATGACCGAGGCGGAGAGTTCTCCTTTGACCTTCTGCGAGCCTACTGCCGTGCGCAAGGCATCCGCCAGACCTTTACGCTTCCGGACTCTCCACAGCAAAATGGGATTGCTGAGCGCCGCATTGGCATGGTCATGGACGTCGCTCGTACGTCCATGATGCATGCGGCTGCCCCCCATTTTCTGTGGCCGTTTGCGGTTCGGTACGCGGCGCATTAGATCAACCTTCACCCCAGGGTCTCCATGCCGGAGACCTCCCCAGCCTTGCTGTGGACGGGGAAGGTCGGCGATGCGTCTGCGTTCCGTGTCTGGGGATCTCGGGCGTTTGTCCGTGACTTGTCTGCGGACAAGCTGTCCCCTCGTGCTGCTCCCTGTGTCTTCCTTGGCTTCCCCCCTGACGCCCCAGGGTGGCAGTTCTACCAACCCACCTCTCCTCGTGTTCTGTCCTCCCAGGACGTCACGTTCGACGAGTAAGTCCCCTACTACCGCCTCTTCCCCTACCACACTCCTTCCCTCACCCCGCCACCGCACTTCCTTGTGCCAGGTCCCCCCCCCGGTAGACCCCCTCCCCCCTCAGGGTCCTACCCCTTCAGGTGTGTCCCAGGTAGATGAAATCGAGCCGGTCGAGGTTGCTGGTGACTCTGGTACTGCTGTGGGTGCTGAGCCTGGGGGTGCTAACTCTGGGGGTGCTGCACGAGTGGGTGCTGAGCCTGGGGGTGCTGAGCCTGGGGGTACTGCGACTGGGGGTGCTGAGCCTGGGGGTGCTACGACTGGGGGTGCTGAGCCTGAGGGTGCTGCGACTGGGGGTGCTGAGCCTTGGAGTGCTACGACTAGGGGTGCTGAGCTTGGGGGTCCTTCGCCTGGGGGTGCTGCGTCTGGAGCTGCTGAGCCTGGGGGTGCGGATCCAGTGGCCGCTGGACCTGCTCGTGTGGCATCTGGCGGTGCTGGGCATGGTGGTTCTCCTGGTTCTTCTCGGCGGGAGCCACTCTCTCCACAGGAGCTGCGCGAATGGTTTGCCCGGCGCTGGAGGCGTACTGCTGGAGCTGGAGCTTCTTCGGCCGCTGAGGGTGCTTGTGCCGCTGGTCCCGGAGGTGCTCGTCCGACGGGAGCTGGAGCGGCTGAGGGTGTTGGCGCTGAGGCTACTGCTGTCAGTCCTGGCGGCGGTCCTGCTGCGGGTGCTACTGGTGCTGCTGGAGGTACTGTAGCTGGAGGTGCTGTTGGCGCTGGTGCTGCCGGAGGTGCTGAGGGTGCTGGTGCTGTCCCTACTGTGTCTGGAGTCCCTACGCGACCTCGGCCGTACTTCGTTCCGCTCCTTCAGCAGGTTCTTGGTCTTCCTCCTCCCTTAGAGTGTCCACCGCCTGTCCAGTCCTAGTCACAGTTACCGCCGGCCTCCCCACTGCCTGCTCCCTCTCCCTACACTGGTCCTACTGGAGGTCTTGCTGAGCGTCGTGAGCCTGCGTCTCGTCCTGCGTCGCCTGTTCGTGCTTCTCGCACTAGTGGTCGCGGTTCGCGTCAGCGTCCTCCTCTTGTCCCTAGCACGCACCGGATGTCTCTGCGTCCGTCCACTGCTCCTCTGCGTGCCCCTTTGCAATCTCCTCCTGAGTCCTCTCTTCCATTGCTTGCTGACCCGGAGTCGGACTCTCTTCGTGCTGCCAGTCCTACTCTCACGCGTCTTCTTGCCACTGTCGTCACTGACCCCTCTTTTGAGTCCATTGCTGCGTCTGCTCTTGTTGCTGAGCTCGTCGACTTTGCTAATCGCTGTCGTCTAGACTACGCTGCTAGTCTTGTTGCTGATTCTGCGTCTGTCTGTCCTCCGTCCGTCGGGGGTGAGTGTGCTCTTGGCACGGACGTCCTTGAGGATAGGCAGGAGGAGTTCCAGTGTCTGGCTGCTGCTTCACCTCATCTCGCGTCCGTACTGCTTACCCTTGAGGGAGACCCGGATGCACTTGACATCCCGACTCCGCGCTCTTACGCGGAGGCCGTAGAGGGTCCCTACTCCTCTCAGTGGCAGGCAGCTATGGATGCAGAGATGGCTTCCTGGAAGTCCACAGGCACCTACGTTGACGCGGTTCCCCCTCCTGGGGCGAACATCGTCAGTGGCATGTGGATCTTCAGGGTGAAGCGGCCGCCAGGTTCTCCACCTGTCTTCAAGGCGCGGTACGTCGCTCGTGGCTTCAGTCAGCGGCAGGGAGTTGACTACTTTCAGACCTTCTCTCCCACCCCGAAGATGACCACTCTTTGGATGCTGGTGCACATAGCCGCTCAGCATGACTACGAGCTTCACTCCCTTGACTTCAGCACTGCTTTCTTGCAGGGCAGCCTGCACGAGGAGATCTGGCTGCGCCGTCCACCTGGCTTCACTGAGACTTTTCCTCCTGGCACCCAGTGGAGCCTCCAACGCGTGAGTGGCACGACACACTGAGGACTACACTTGCGGCTCTTGGGTTTGCTCCCTCTACTGCCAACCCGTCGCTGTTTCTACGCACCGACACCTCTTTGCCGCCGTTCTACATCCTTGTGTACGTCGACGACTTGGTCTTTGCCACAGCTGACACTACTGGACTCGCCCACGTGAAGTCGGAGCTGCAGAAGAGACACACGTGCACAGACCTGGGTGAGCTCCGCAGCTACCTTGGCCTGCAGATCACCCGGGACAGAGCACGCCGCACCATTACCCTTACTCAGTCACACATGGTGCAGCAGGTCCTTCAGCGCTTCGGCTTCACGTACTCCTCGCCTCAGGCCACTCCTCTGTCTACTCGCCACTCGCTCTCAGCTCTGCCTTCGGATGAGTCCGTAGAGTCGAGTGGCCCGTACCCAGAGCTTGTTGGCTGCCTCATGTACCTGATGACCTGCACACGACCTGACCTTGCATACCCTCTTAGCATTCTTGCACGCTATGTTGCTCCTGGGAGACACAGACCAGAGCACATGGCTGCAGCGAAGAGGGTGTTGCGCTACTTGTGGAGTACGTCGGGCATGGGGCTAGTGCTTGGAGGGCGGAGTCCAGTGGTCCTCACTGGGCACGCGGACGCTTCTTGGGCTGACGACCAGGCTACGCAGCGTTCGTTACAGGGTTACACCTTCAGCCTTGGTTCCGGCTCTGTTTCGTGGCGGGCTACTCGCTCGTCTTCTGTTCTCAGCTCCAGTTGTGAGGCTGAGATCTACGCCGGGGCCATGG